TTTATATAATTTTAGAATCGTTTGTAAAACACATAAAGTTGCAGTTTCATCATTTGAGGAAGCGCTGTTCCCAATTTTTCAAGAAATTTTACAGCAAGATGTTTTAGGTAAAATATTTTATTTAATATAAAATTATTTATGTTATTTAATTATATTATTTATTTTTAATATATATTTTTATATTTAGAATTTCTACCATATCTTTTTCAAATTCTTGCTTTACTTCTGGAATTACGAACAACTCAAGATATTCCAGAAGCATATTTGGCTTTATTTCCTTGTTTATTATCATCAGTATTATTTGAACGTCAAGCTAATATTCATCCTTTAAATCGATTATTAAGAGCGTTCATTAGTCATGGCGCACATCATATAGTAGCACAAGACAAAACAAATGGTTTGTTAGGTGTATTTCAAAAATTGATTGCTTCAAAGGCCAATGATCACGAAGGATTTTTGTTATTACAAAGTATTATTGAATATTTTGCACCGTAAGTTTTCTTATTAAATTATTTCTTATCATAATTTTAAAAAAATATTATGGAAATAATTATATGTATCAATAATATAACATTTTTAGAAATGTATTAGAACCCTATATGAAACAAATATTCGTATTATTATTTCAAAGACTTTCATCATCAAAAACAACAAAATTTGTTAAAGGTTTAATTGTATTTTTTGCATATTATATCATTAGATATGGTTCCAATAATTTGGTTACAATTATAGATCAAATACAATCTCGGTAAGTTGTTTTTTTATTAAAAATCAATAAAATAATCATAATTAAAGCTAATTAATATATTATTATTATTATTTTATATATAAATAATTATTATTAATTATTTTATTTCAGAATGTTTGGCATGGTTGTAGAACGTGTATTAATAGCAGATATGCAAAAGGTAACAGGTGATATTGAACGAAAAGTTACTGCAGTTGGAATGTCAAATTTACTAATTGATTGTCCAGCGATGCTAGAAAGGCCATATAATACATATTATCCTCGTTTATTAGCAACATTAGTAGAATTTTTTGAATTACCACAAGATCAGACTTCTTTACCTGAAGATACTATATTGCCAGAAACTGAAGATACACCTGGGTATCAAGTAGGATATAGTCAATTACTTTGTGCAAGAAATCCTCCAAAAGATCCTCTGGAAGGTATTATAAAAATATTTTATTATTTATGAAATTTTATATATCTTATTATATTAAATTTATTTAATATTTTATTTCTTTATTAAATTTATTTTATTTTAACAATTTATTTTAAAATTAAATTTTAACAAATAATGTTTTAACTAAAAATTTAATCAATTTTCTAATAAATTTTATTTTAATAAACAGCTATTGGTGATGTACGTTTACATTTA